CTGTTAACTATTTATTTTATTTATTTATTTATTTATAATATATGAATTATTATTTTCATTGGCAAATCGGAAATGCATTTTGCGGTATGAAAGATAGAACAGAGTAGAATTAAGTCTTGTACAGCTTGGACCTGGAAACTCAAATTCAAACTTTAACTATTAAAGTGGGGCGTGGCAAATCGGGAAATGGATGTGGCTGCGAATGGGTGTGCTACAGTCGTTAACATTTTTTATTGAATTTTTGTTCATCAGTGGATAATATTTGCATACATTTCTCTTTTTTTATCATGATTCATTATATATACTAAATATAAACTATATTCTAACCACAACTAATACACATCTATGTCCAGCTAAAAAAAGAAAAGTTCCCACAGTTCGCTTAGCTCCCTTACTCTGCAGATACCTCTAAGAGCTCTTCAATTGCCATAAATCTTGGCAACTGTCATCAATTTGGAACAATTAGCGTGCTTCAGGCCTCTCAATTAGCGCCAAGCAGTGTGGCTCGCGACTCACTTTAAAAAAATGTTGTCTCGTGTCAACAATTTAGACGGAATGAGCGGACGTATCATAACAAACCTGCACGTGCGCATTGTGGGCGGGGGCATGTGCGGCATGTGGCAGCCACTTAAAGTGGCAATCCCACCCAGCCTTGGGGCGGCGGCTCAGGCAGCCACTCGAGCAGCTGTGAAGTGGCTGGTGCCACAAAGCTCTGGTCCAATTCTGTGGCACGTGCCAGCCAGCGCAGCTTCACACATGTTGCGCCCACGGAAGTGTTACAGCCACGTGCCGGTAATTCGCTTAGCGACAGGCGTAAGCCCGCAATGATTATTGCGGTTGCAAAAAAATAATAAACAAATAATTGAAAAGAGTTGCGTCCAATTGATATGAAGTGGCCACAAGATGACAAAGGCGCCTGATAAGCGACAGAGTGCATGCCGCTTTGAACTTTATGCGCTGATCCTCGCTGCCAGACAGAGCAGAGCAGAGCAGAGAAGAGCTGAGCTGAGAGACAGATAATTCACTCTCATAGCTCCCATTGGCTTACGTTGAAGCGTAAAAAATGCTCGCGTTTTAACTGGTAGTGGTTGCTGCTGCTGTCAATGTGTCTCTGTGCGTGTGTGTGTGTGTGCGTGTGTGCGTGTGTGTGTGTGTACAACCCCCTTTAGGCTAGAGAGCGAGTGGCAATCACTGCCGCGCATATCTGTTGGGATTTGTGCCATGGCGCCGCCATCGTCGCGACCGACGACAATGCGTCGAGGGTTGTTACCCGCCTAAATCAGCGGGCTTACCAGCCAGCTCGACCAGCTCGCAGAGCTCGACCAGCTCGACTAGCTCTCTAATGGCTGCACATAAAACCGTTGCGCACTCCTGTTCAGCTTTTAGTTGGTGCGGGCACGCGAAACGGTTAAGGCTACACAGAAGAGCACAACTATCAGTGATATACGAGAACAAGCTAATATATATATCAAAGTATAATGCGCCTAGTTGATATCGTGCTTTAGATAGAGCTGCATCTATATATATATAAGGAAATCTAGTGCGATCTCAACATGTCCGCCTGTTACAATGCCTACAATCCGGCGCATTCGTTTCAGTTTGAGGAGGCTGACGATGACGATGCTTCCTTTGACAGCGGCTACGAGAAGAGCTTTGAAACGGAGGCCCAGACCAGCTCACGTCGCCGTTTGGACTTTGGCGAACACTGCGGCAGCACAACGCCAGCTCAAGCGCCAGCGCCGCTGGCCTATGCCGGCAACTGGGAGATGCAAATGAACTCGCCACCTGCTGGCTTCGTCGGGCTGCTGGACACGAGCAGCAATCACAGCACGCGCAGCGGTCGCACGCTGGTGGAGCACCTGAACAGTCGCGCCGCAACGGCCACATTCGAGCCGCTGGTGACCAGCACGCCGGTCAAGTCGCCGGAGGATCCGAATGCGCCGCGACCGAAGCGTAAATATGCCGTCGGCAAGAATCGCGTGACGCGTTCGCGCAGTCCGCTGCAGGTGGTGCGCATCAAGAAGTTCCGGCGGATGAAGGCCAACGATCGGGAGCGCAATCGGATGCACACACTGAACGATGCGCTGGAGAAGCTGAGGGTCACCCTGCCTTCGCTGCCGGAGGAGACCAAATTGACGAAGATCGAAATCCTACGCTTTGCCCACAACTACATCTTTGCGCTGGAGCAGGTGCTGGAGAGCGGCAACACCATCAATCTGGATCTGGAGAAATTGCAAAACTTTACGCTGAGTGGCGAGCGCATCACCAAGGAGCTCTTCGATGCGCTCTTCGTGAACCCGCAGCCGTATCCCATGTTCGGCAATGGGCGCATCTTTCCCTACGGACCGCATCAACAGCAGACGCCGCCGATGCACTATTCGCCGGGCCAGGCTATGGACTATCAGCCACCTGGCTTTGATCTGGGCAGCAGCATGCGCTACTATCAACAGCAGCAGCAGCAGCAACAGCAACAGCAGCAGCAGCAGATGGTGGCGCAGTCGGAGCTTAGTCCACAGCCCACAGCTTCGGCTGCGTCTCACTTTTCGCAGGAGAAATATGATCTGTTTCGCAGCAGCTTTGAGGCAGCTGCCATGCCGGACTCGGGTCTGCATCAGCAGAGCAGCTTCTACACACAAACGCCGCCCTGGAAGGACTACCAAGAGGATCATCACCAGCAGCAGCAGCAGCAGCAACAACAATTGCACTATAAACAGTTTCAGGTATAGCACAGTTTCGGGGGCATCAGTGCGGGTGTCTATCTTCTCTGGGTGATATGTTCGACAGTGTGCTGAGCCCTAAGCGGCACCGACAGCTGGAAAGGATTCACGCAAGAGCTGCCCTAGCGATTCACCTTTGACCTACGTGACTATATCACATATAGATAGATAGATAAAAGTGATTTGCTTAGAGCAGCTGAGTCAGTATTACATTTCCAGCTCTCAGTCCCGCTGCGGCTCGCAATCAGTTGATATTTTGCATTAAGTATTAAATTGATAGCTAAGGCCATGCTAAGCCAACCGGCCTTAGTTATCAATTTGATTTGATTCACTTAGCGAGCCAAACAAAGCTTCAATCGGAATTCCTGATCTGATTGAGCTTTTGTTTTGCTCACCGAACTGAACAATTAAAGCTAAAAGTGTTTTCTATATCAATTAATACACACTCAAATATGAAACAATTTATTTTATATTTGATTGAAATGAATGAATACGTATAAATTACACTTTTTGCTTTGAAAATCGAATACAAAACGCATCGGTTGTCCATGTAAATTTAGTCAGAGCATCCATGTACCTTTGCTAGCAAGCCATATATTTATATACATATTAAGATCAGAAGCTCATATTTAAGATGAAGCATTAGCTAGATTTAGTTAGTTGGTTGGGTTAACAATGCAATTGCTAAGGAGAAACGCGAGCTAGTCATTTTTGCGAATCAGGTTATACATACAAATATACAAATATATATTTCGATTATAACTTAAGCTGAATTTTATGTAAACTATTAAAATTTATTTTTGCTAATAAAGTTGAAGAAAAACCGAAGCAAAACAAAAGTACTGCAAAAGGCGCTGCTTAGGTAAGCAGAAAATGGAAGTGGAAAAGAAAATTGCTAAAGTCAAGCTAAACAACCCTGAGCTGTGCATGTGTGTAAGTGCATGTGTGTGTGTATGTTTGTGTGTGTGTGTGCGGATTTCAGATTTTCAAACAAAAGACTTAAATTCAAATAAATATTGTATATTGCAGTGCACATAAAATGAATGTGTGTGTGCGTGTGTGTGTGTGTGTGTGCGTGTGAGTGCAGCTTGTTTATTGTAGGGGGCATTTTTGCGCCCTTACAATTCGACATGGGGTGAGTTGAACAATGGAAGATTGCCCGTCACCTGCCACAGAATTACGACTACAAAACGAATGTACCAATGCCTAAAATATACAACAGCAACAGCAGCAGCAGCAGCAAAAGCAACAACAACAATAGCAGCAGCAACAGCAGCAGCCGAGAGTCCTGAAACATGAGCCAAGTGGCAGTGGACCTGCATGAATGCCACTCAAATTATTTAGTTGAATGAACCGGCAAGAGTCGAAATACTGAGTCGACTGACTGACTGCCTGACTGACTGACTGACATTTTCCGTTACAGGCAAAAATAAAGGGTGACTCGTAGAAGATGCTGAGCTATATTGCTGGAATGCAACATCTCCAGGAGAGTAGAGTAGAGTAGAGTAGAGTCGCTAAGCTGCGCTTGTCATTTGTGCAGCTTTGTTGAAGGTGTCGGGATTTATCTTAACAATAATCATTATTATAGCCAGTATATTTGTCATTGGCAAAGGCGCAAATACGCAGCGGGCGAGCCGCTAAGCTGCATTCAATGCCAGCCGAGCTGGCGCTGAGGGTGATGCGCACAAAGGACAACAGTTGGACGGGGAGACAGACGGAGCGCACGCAGGACGGGCATCATTAGCGTGCTGTCCCGCTAGCTGTGTCACGGGGTAGCTCACTGCAGATGCTTATCGTCGGATCAATAACGGCATTACGCATACATCTACCAGTCCCTGCTGTCTATATATACATATATATATATATATATATGTATATATATGACTATGCTAATACCATGCGAGGCTTTGGTTAAACAATTTACCGATTGCCGTAAGACGATAAGAAAACCAAAATGGAAACAAATTGCCAAAGCACGGTGCAAGGAGCAAACACAATGCTAGCTGCGTCAAGTGCAGGTCCTTTGGGTCCGATTTATATATGAGCCACTGAGCAATAGATTTCATTGCTTTACGCTTGGATATTGAAAAAATGTAAGCAATTGTTTGACTTACTTGCAATATGTATAGAGTGGAGGGTAGAAAAATAATCTCTTGAAGAAATCTCTCTTAGAAAAATACAAATATACATTCTATTCTATACATTTGGCATTATCTTTAATATGCGATTCCTATGGAGTTTCGCTTTGATCACACAAATGAGCTCTCTTTTCATACCATTTCAATATATTAATATGATATCCTTTAGCATCTGCTTTGATCTTGAAGTATGTTCTACTCCAACCAATATCGAAATAGAACTTTATCATAAAAACCCGTTAATTCTATCATCTAGTTATATGATTTACCCTTTAAAAGAAACCTAACAAACCCATAAAAGGAATCGACATTTGTGAACATAAATTATGAGCGTTTGATTCCATCTAATTCGAGCTCAAGCATAAACGTGCCAATTTGTCTATTTGGTTCCAGATTCCGATATCAGAATTGGCAAAAATCGCAAATCGAATTTTATTTGGCGTATTGATTGTTTTACGCCTTTTTAGCATTGCGCTGACACACATTCACCAGCTAGCAAAAATAAAAAATAAAAGCATATATATGAGTAGGAATCAGAAATTTAACCCTTCTGCGGCACATGTGCATTAACGTAACCCCTTCTGGAAATCCCTCTTTGCTTCTTTTTTTGGCAAACAGAATTCGCTCTGGTGGGTCGAGTTGAGCCGAGGCGAGTCGCTCGACCTTTTTAGCGATTCATTGCCCTGCTCGAATTGGTTTATCTGTGAAATCTGTGACGCTGCATGTATATGTATGCACGTATTTGTTATGTAGGTCCTTTTGGTCCTGCCCTACCTTGAGTTGTGTGCTCATCTAACCGAAAAACATTGGATAAACAAACAGCCGCTCGAGTATTTTGTTACATTTGTTGCCGCGCCGAGGAAGCCAATCTGTCGCATTTGTGTGCATGCTCGTCCTTGCAGGATAATCATTAGACACACACACACACATACACACTCTCTCTGTATGTGAGTATAAACTGTAAACTGTGCGCGCAAGTTTTGATTGCGATTTTAATCCGATCTGAGCGGTTTTAGTCAAATTTAAGCAGATTTGTGTCACATTGTTGCAACAGAAAGTGGAACACAAAAAATGTAAACACATGTAAATCAAAAATCATATTCGATACACACGATTCGAATTGAGATAAGAGCGGCCGAATAACTATTTGAATAGGCTGAGTTCTTCTTATGAGAGAGCTGAGCGTAGCTCTTAGCAGATGAGCTGCCTAAGTGAAGCTGTAGTAGTAGTGTGGCTACTATGAGAGGGGAATGCTATTGGCTGAGCTGATAGTTGATTAGCGTCGAAGCAAGGAGCGTATATGGGTGTTATGTACTCTGAGTATGCAAATTTCTGTCTATATGGATGTCTGTACACCGTCTCAGTTAGAGACTCATAGACTTAAAGCGGCTGCTTGGATCGTCGGCTTTGATTCTCTTCTCTTCTCTGGACTTCTCGGCTCGTYGGGTGGAGTCGTCGGCTTGGATCGTGGCTCGTTGTCGTTGATCTTTGGCTTGGATCGTCAACTATTATATCGTCATCTTAAAATTGCTCGATTTTGAGAGCATGAACTATAAAAGCAGCTGAGCAAGCAAGAATAAATACATTGCTTTTATATTGTACATATTTTATCGTAACGTACAAAAAACTTCAACAGCTAGAATTCCCAAGGCTTGCAGGTGGATCACTGCTGTTCCCCTCTATATTTGTAATTATATCAATATCAAGATATATGATATGCGTGTTATATTTGAACATAGTTCAGCATATTTACACAAGATTGATTTTCTTTTGTTTTCCTCTACAAATGGTCATAAATAATTTGCTTTTTACCTGAGATTTTGTAGGTCAACGAATTGGAAATGGTTCTAGCTATTAGGCATTTGGCAGACGCCGGAAACGCCATTCGTTATTTGCAACCCCAAAAGAGAGAGAGAGAGAGAGAGTGAGGTCGCTGCAGACATAGTTATATTTCATATTCCAATCACATAACGAATATTTCCTTTTCCTTTTCCAAATGAATAAACTGTTAGACAAACAATACATTAAACTTTACAACTTCACACCCGCTGCCTGTGTATGAAAACCATTAGAGAGCCCTATCCCAGCAGCAGCAGCAGGAGCAGGAGCAGGAGCAGCCGAGTCTGGCATTATACATATAAATATATATATACAGCCAGTAGCTGAGGCTGTACCACAAACTACGAGCTGATTGTTATGCAAATGAGCAGAGTAGCAGGACGAAACCAGGACGAAATACGGAATGGAGAGCGCAACCCTAAATAAAAAGTGCTTGGGTTAACTTTGGCTGCAGTTCATCAAGTGGTCATAAATATATTGAGCCAAAGGAAGAGCGCCAGCCTAATTAATATGCAGCGCCATGTGCATAATGAATGTGACATTTGTAATTTATGGTTGATATTTGTTAAGATTCCTACTCACTGCTATTCCACACTTTTTGAATGAATTGAATTGAATTTGTAGGCTGGTGCTAAAAGGTCGGCACAACAACGGTTTCATGCCCAGTTATTGGGAGTGTAAACAACCTTTGATGGAGTGAAAGGGCCAAGCTGACAATGTTTGCTATTTGCCATTGATTCGCATTCACATTTTGCTTTTGTGCCTAAGCCGCAGCAGCCTGGACTTCCGTTGCATCTATAAGACCTACTTCCGGTTTAGCGCAAAACTGCGCGAAAATCCCCTGATTAGGCGTCCATTGTGCTGCTGTAAAAAATGAGCGAAAAACTGCCAATTTTACCCCCAAAAAATGGATTGAACGAGGAGAGCTGACAAGTAGTTAGCTGCAATTACAATTGCATGAGTTTGGTCGACGCGGGGTGTTGCCCTAAGTCGCTTTTTATGGCACCTCGAACGGGCCAACTCGGCGTTGGCAGTTGACAGAAAGCGACCGTTATGATTTAGTTAGATATATGGCATTGGCACGCAAGGACTTAATACCCTGGAAGGAACCGAGCTGGAGAAGGTATATGCTTAGTGTGAATATATAGAAGAAATAGGGAATAGAAAATTTCAGTGGTTAGGTCTAGTTTTATTCAACAGCTGAACAAGTTATCGTACTAAAACTAACTAGCTTTGGCAAATAATTTAATATAAGTTATATATTTATGATATAGAAATTGWTAAGATTATGGTATGTAAGCAGGTTTGATAAATATATATTTAATATAT